ATTTCATATTTTTTTTTCTGTATTTTTATTCTATATTTTTAGTTCTATATCTTTGCTTCTATATTTTTAATTCCACATTTTAGATTCTGTATTTTTGATACTATTTTGTTAATTCTATATCTGTGATTCTATACCTTTGATTCTATTTCTTTGATTCTATACCTTTGATTCTATTTCTTCGATTCTATATCTTTGAATTCTATTCTTGATTCTATATCTTTTATATTATATTTTTGATTCGATATTTTTAAATCCATATCTTCGATTCCACATTTTCGATTCTATATTTTTAGTAGAAAAAAAACCAGTAACAGGACACGGAAGATAATCGATATTCTTCCTACGGAATATTATAAGGTATCCAGGGGATCCTGAGGAATTTGCCAGGACCCTCAGCATCTTTCAGTGTTCCCTAATGTCCTTCTGATCCCTTGTCTTCCGAAAGAGGTCTCACGTATAAAACTTTCGCTGGAAGTTTGCGCAAATGTCTTTTATATCCTTCCCCGCGGTAATTAAGATCGATGGTGCTTTAACACATTGCCGTCCACGCAAATTCTGCCTAACTATACTCTGCTTACCCACATCTTCCCAGAACGATGACCCTATTCTATCCGCAAACTGAAAACTAGGTCTCGTGGAGATATATCTAGAAAAGTAAACGCAGTCAAAACCATTCTAATCTATTTAATATTTCTAATGTCAATAGTATGCGCTCGAAGCTATTTTCACTCGAAAATAAAGATATTGCATTTAACGACTATAACGTTAATTTATTAAAAACCGATAAAACCAATGCAAAAATTCTTTTCAAAAATAATATAGCAATTTTCAATGATATCATTTATTTACAAAGATTCGGTCCTAGATTCGCGAAGCATTAAAAGCAACTGTTCTATGTTACTTTATAAAAGTAACAATAAAATATTTATTCTGATTTCGAACGAGTATCATTGTAATATTCGCCGCAGGTAGCACGTATATTACTAAACAACTATTCCACACACAATAAGTAATCCATCAACGACCTATTGATCTTTAAAACACTGCACCAAAATAGAAACATTTCTAAGAGCCGTTTAGTAAAAGTTTACCCGAAAGAAGAAACTCGTGAATCTCGATAAAATCGGGCATTTCGAACGTAACAACGTACTACAAGCCATCGTGAAACTGTAGGATAGCCAGGTGCGAGCACCGGTGCGGCTCTCCTTGAAAACCGTGCCATAAGAAATGCCTCTTACCGGGAGCATTGCGGCAAATCGAATTCGAAATTTCCTCTCGCGCCACAAAACCGAGATCGCGGGAGGCCACAGCCGGAAGTATCTCATCGGCGGAACGATCGGTCGCGACTGATCTCGGTTGAAGACTGGGGTCGCGGGCAGCGGTTCATGGTCCGAAGTGCAAGCTGTGCGGGTGCACCATAGGAGAGACATTACCCGGGCATTGTTTGCCATTCCCGATATTTCATTCGGGGATGGTTCGCTCAGCCTTGGTGGCTGTATCGCGCCCCCCGCACGGGAACCGCGGGGGATGAAATGATACGTAAAATGGCGCTTACTCAGGCTGAATCCGGAATCCTTCACGTGGATGACCACCATCGGCATCAGTACCATCACGATGAGGTTTACGACGTGGAACACCATTCCTGGCCCGTGAGCTATGATATCCTGCGGCACAAAATAGAGAGGTACAAGTTACGAGCGGAAGTTGCTTGCAGAGACCGGCTGGGAACGCGAACGGGACAGAGAAAGAGGGGAAGAGAGCGGAATGCTCCGCGCTTTTCGACCCCCTTTCTCTCCATGATTCGAATGCGAGAGGGGCGGGGGAGTGGCGACCGGAGAACCCGGAGAGCTTCTCAAAATACGAAGGCTGAAATCCAGCCGGTGGAACTACCGAAACTCGTTTATTATCCATGCGAAGGCCCCGTGTATCCGGCTGCGTCTGTTGCGAAATTCAATACAAAACGGAGCGCGCTCTCTTGTTGCCGTGGTTCGTTATTTAAATATCGCGAGCCGCGCACTAGTGCCACGGACGAATTAACAGATGATTTATCTAGCAATTCGCTTACAAACAGGCGATCGGTGTTTTTGCTTCGGTTACAGCTGATTTCGAGGGGAAGAAATACTTCTGGGAAACTGGTGTTCGTTCGAATCGGTTAATCGTTCGAAATTTTTGGGTGTTACGGTAAAAACTAGCGGTCATTCAAATTAGTTCAAACGTGGTCAAACGACTTGAACAGCGGATTATACAGTGGCTGATTTTTATGTCAAAAAATAAGTCGAGAAGAAAACAATAACGTTGTATCATTTGACGAGGTTTAAAACATTCGATCGCTTCAAACATGATCAAACGACTTGAATAGCTGCGGATTATACAGTGGCTGATTTTACGTCAAGAAATAAATAGAAAAGAAAACAATAACGTTGTATCATTTGACGAGGTTTAAAACATTCGATCGCTTCAAACATGATCAAACGACTTGAACAGCTGCGGATTATACAGTGGCTGATTTTACGTAAAAAAATAAGTCGAGAAGGAAACAACAACGTTGTATCATTTAACGAAGTTTAAAACATTTCATCGCTTCAAACAAGGTCAAACGAACCAAACAGCTGCACATCATATAAGCGAAGATATTTTTACGAAGTTTACTCTTTCTATCGCCGCTTAAATAATAATCGCGAACACGGAATTGAATTAAGATTATAACTACCATACATAGTCAACGTGACTGATGTCTTCTTTTACAATTTTATATCTTAGAAAAATGTTCTTTTTTTTACGAAATTTACTTTCTCTATCGCCGCTTAAATAATAACTGCAAGCATGGAATTGAATTAACACTAGAACTACCAATCACAGTCAACGTGACTGATTTCTGATTTCTTCTTTTACAATTTCACATCTTAGAAAAATATTATTTTTTTACGAAATTTACTCTTTCCATCGCCGCTAAAATAATAATCGCAAGCATGGAATTGAATTAGCACTGGAATTTAAAAACACAGTCAACGTGATTGTTTTCTGATTTCTTTTCTCACAATTTCTCACGTTAGACAAATATTCATATATAACATTCTCAATTAAACTTCTTTATTCAAGCTTACGTTATAATACAAATCGTGCGCGAAGCTTAAATAAATCAAATCCGGTAATTGGAATTTTTCGAAGATTCGAATGCATCATTGTCCGAGATGAATTTCCAATGAATTGCTGAACAAAAGCGCGGCCGAAACTAATCGTTTACCTGAAAAGTCGATGAACATTTTCCACGGGGAAAAAAAATGTCGTAGAAAAGGGAACGAAAGGGAATGATGCATGTCCGAGCGCTCAACATTGTTTAACCCTGCATTTGCATGAGCATCGCAATGGCAGCGCAAGACGCGTCGCGTATTCTTCAACGTCTCGCATAAACAGATTTCATTTCCGGCCTGTTTTGCCATGCAGAAACGCTGTGTGCGCCGATGGTATCGTCGCGGGCAGACTATGAACAGACTGCGTGTGCATTATTTTATCATTATGAATCACAGCCGGCGCGGGATAAAACGGACGCGCGGCGATACCGCGATATCCGGGCGCGGCGTGCGAAATTCGATAAAAATATAATACGCGAGGCACGATGTTAATTATTTAAACACGGCGTTCAGCGGGTTTAATAAAGCGTCGCGTGTCCCGGCGCGATTCAGCGATGGAAACACGCGATACGCCGAGGAAACAAACCCGTAGAAACATTTTCATTTGATATAAAATATGCTGCGGCACGGAGCGCGGCGGCGCGGCGCCGCGTTATATTTTCCGCCGAGGCGCGGGTCTTAGCGCTTGCTTTGTTTAACGTTTGTCCGCGGTCGGAATGTTGAACAGTGGAAAGAACGGGCGGTTCTGCGACAGGGTGGGGAGGGGAGGGCAGAGCTGTTCATTACACATTCAGTATTTACGCGGCCACGAAATTCTCAAAGCGCGGACGAGGACCCTGGGAAATTGCGCGTCGAGGATCGAGCAAAGGCTTCTGCGGCGCTCGCATCTGTGTCAACTGCAACAAACTTGGCTTTCGATGAACGTAGTTTCGCCGCGTTGTCCTTTCGCGTGCCGCGAAAAAATCCGGATCGCTGGATGCTTTCATATTTTCGCGCGTTCTCTCTCTCCGCGGCGGTGTTCTTTTCATTCCCGTTGAATTACGAGCAGCGGCTGAAATTGATGCACAAAGTACGGAAAGAAGCCGGCAGTTTATCGGCTAATGCAGCCGGTTGCCACACCGGCGTCGCGAGAACCGCCCCTTCGTCCGCCTCGCACTTGAGAGATTTCGAGGACAAGTTTACTAAACGTCAATATTATCGCGTTCCACGTACCATCAGGTATAATATTGTTTCATTAATATCAATATTTACTCTTCATAATACACAGAGGGATGCGCAAGACGCGGGCCGTGTTATTGTTCTTTCGAGAAATTAGGATGACATCGTGGCAATATCGTAGCAATTATTACACAACAGTGGTTCACAAAAGAGTTCAAAATGACTTGATATTTCTTATAGTCATTACTCATTTTTTAGTACGTTTTGTTATCTAAAACTTTGCGTAACTTTATCTAAAATGTAATAATTAATTAATTATGTAAATAATTAATTATGCAAAGCGGTTCTCTCTTTTCCGATACCGACGTTCGCGTAAAACAAGAAATATAGTCGAAGTTTTCTCTAGTTATTTATTATTAACCAGTTTATAATCAATTTTCGCTCATAAAATAGCAAAATGTAATAAAAACGCATAGAACACTGTGTACTTTTTTTAAATCGCAATATTAAGAATGCCATTTGTCTCTGTCAAAAATTGCAAACATTTTCTCGGAGCAATAAATATATTTCGAACACACACCGATTAGCAAAATATTTCGCCGGGTCTTATCCCCAAACGCGAACGTATTTGACGATAAATTAACGAAGTATTTCGCTGAAAATTCACGGCTGTTGCATAATATTATCGCAGCCTATTTTCCCGTAAAACGGCTCGGAAATTTATGCATTTTATCTAGTTAAAGTGGCACTCGGTATCTAATTCAAAATCCATGTACACATGTCGGCCAGTGCTCACAGTAGATCATGCGACGGGCATGTAAACACGTCCATAGCTAATATACGGCCATAGTTAAAGTGCACTCTCTGCGACTGAATTCATATTGGCCCATAAGCTGCAACAACGCTCCCTGGAACTACGGTGTGTCCATTGTAGCGTATAGAGCTCGTTACAGACGTATAACGTCGTACAATTCGACAGACGCCGCTCGTGTGACCGGCTGCATTAATCCCAAAGTTACGTTGGCAACGAACGTGCACTCGCTTCATTTGATCGTTGCCGTTTACGCGAACCCGCGACTCGCAATTTCTATATAAGAGAGTACTCCGGCCCCACCGTAATTCCCGATCAATGGAATATTCATGCAAACCGACACTCAGTTTACTTAACGATATCGAGTACACATCTATCTGTATCATAACGATTTCTGTTTTAATTATGCGAACTCTAAACATTTCACAGTTTATTCAAATGATCGATCGTTCAATCACCAGAGGCTTTAATCGCACATTCACTTCGTGAATTGCCAGCTTTCCCTCGCACGCCGAAAAATACTAGTTTAATCGTGGGTTATAATATATTTCTATATTAGAAATACTTCTCGATAATAAATACTTCTCGGAACATCAGCTGTGACTCTAAACTAAGGTAACCAACGCGAATACAAAGTAGAGACTTCAATCTTTAGAAGGAGCCCCAAATCATTGCGATACAATCATTTGCAACGAAGTTACAGCGCGTCGAAATTCGTCCATTTTTGTTTAATTTTTATCTCGATTTTATTTTATCCCCGGAAGTTTCTAAATTAAATTGCTGCGGCACAGAGGTTCAGAAAATGATACCAAAAAATCGTAGGATGATGTGTTTGGGCTCGTTAGAAAGAGAAAACTTCACGCTACAAAATCACTGTGGTTTCATTCTCGAAAAAAATTTTTTGCATCATTCAGAGGTCCGGATAGTTAGATTTTTGGCGAAAATTGAACTTTTTTATAAAATGTACCACCACTGTCAGCACTGCGACGGTGAATCAAAATATCCGCAACATTTTCAAAGAGCATATTCAGCCCCTTAAAATGAACACAGAACGACTGCGATACTTCAATTTTCAACGAAGTTACAGCCGTTTGAAGATCGTCCAATACCGTTTATTTTTTTCTCGATTTTCGGGCTTCCAGAGTGCACTCTTCATTCAAAGGACCATAAAACGCCACCAAAAAATCGTAGGATGATGTTTTCGTGCTCGTTGAAAAGAAGAAACCTTCTGCTAGGAGTCCGTGTAAATTTCATTTCCGACAAAAATTCACTGTGCTTCCCAGAGACCAACAAAGTTGCATGTTTTGAAAAACCCGACATTGTCAAACGAAGTGCGACTGCTAGCGGTTGAACGATGCTAAATCTCAACAACAGTAAAACTAAAAAAAAGGAACGGGTAGGAAAAATAACATTGAAAACTACAGCTTCGCCGATTAAAATGAGACCATGAACATCGCCCTACGATTTTTTCCAACGATGTCGCAGCCCTTTGAATTCGGAAAAAAAACTGTTCGCCGAGGTCGTCGCGATCCGAAAAATCAGGCATTTGCTGCTAACCTTCCGT